CCCTGCTGCTCCACCCGTGACCTCCTCTTCACCCCCTGACTCTGCTCTGGCTGTCTCCACAGATACCCCCATCACCCCTCCATCAGGTTTTTCTTCCACTGCACTCTCTGTCTTTGCTCTGCTGCCTAGAGATGTGTTTCCACTCAAAAGTGCTTCTGCTGAGCCCTCCTCCTCCTGCACTGTCATGGTCTCCTCCAGCTGAGATGACCCTTCACTTCTGGGATCCCCTCCAGCACCCGCCAGTGTCTCTAATCCAGAGGCTACCTGCAGCACAGGACCCTTGCTGGGCTGCACAGACTCCTCCACTGTGCCCTCTGCTCTCAGGAGTGAGCTCCCTTCTACCTCTGATGCCTTGGTTTCAGATGCTGTTGCTGCTATGGCAGCTTTCCCCATCTCCATCTGCTCTTCCCCTGATGCTTTCAGCTGGGAAAACTCATTTGGCTTTACAAAGTCTCCTCCAGGCATTGCTTGTCCTGTGCAAAGGTTCATTTCCCTAGATGTTTCCAGGAGAGCCCCAGGCTTCTCCACAGCCTCCTCCCCTTCAGAAATGGCTTCCTCTATGGACACTTCTCCTTCAGGGCCAACTACCCTGGCAATCCCTTCTTCTGCCGCGATGGCATCCTCCACAGCCTCCTCTCTCTCAGACACAGCTCCCTGCAAAACCTCCCTCCTCCACGGCCTCCTCGGCCTCAGACACCGTCTCACCCACCACCTGAGGCCCTGCCGCTCCCACAGCCTCCTTTGCCTCCTCCACAGCCTCTTCTCCCTCAGAGATGCCCCCAGCCCCCTCCTCCCTCTGGGACCCTGGTCCGTCTACCTCCTCGCCAAGCAGTGTCCCTGCTGGCTCCTCTCCCCCAGGTGCTGCCTCACTCTCCATACCCTCCATCACACCTCCCTGCTCCCCAGGTGCCAATTCTGTGCCAGACCCCATGCCCTTCCCTGTGCCCCTTCCTTTGGGATCTTCGTCTGCCATGGCACTCTCAGGTGCAGACTCCTCCACCACAAGCTGACCCTCCTCCTGCAGCACAGCCACTGTGTCTTCCTTGGGCAGCACACCTCCCGCCTGTGCCATCTCTTCTCCAGCCTCTTCAGGGCGAGCATCTCCTCCCTCAGCGACAAAATCCTCCTTCTCAAGCACTCGTCTCTCCCCTGCCATCTGCCCTTCTCGTACCACTTGTTCTCCTGCCTTCTGCACATCAAGTGTTCTTGTTCCTTCTGCCATGAAAGCTCCATCTGGTGCTATTAAGAAATAATCAAAACATTAGTTTTATTGAGAACTGTGTTAGCATTAAGGCTGTTTTACATGGTCGTTATTATTAAAGATGTTATCTCTCCCAAGCATGGTTTGAGAAGAAAACTTGCTGTGCTGCTTCTCATCACACACCTGTGTTCTGACTGCATTCCTAGCGCTGTCGTTCTGGCATAACTAATTTAAGCAAAAATGTTGATGCTTGACCAGCTTTCAACTCTGACAGTTCTGCCTGCCCTGCCTACTCTCCCTCCTTCCCTCACCTGCCTGGCAGGGAGCTCAGGTGTGTGTATGAAATAGCTGTAAGCTTGACAGTGACAATCGAAAATTCAGAAGTAGGTGGTAGATTGCTCATGTACAATATGCAAACAGGAATGCAAGAAGAATACTCAGCTGTTCATGTCAAATGGGTCAATTGACACAGAAGCACTACTGCCCAGGAACTACATGTTCTCTATCCTGGTCCATGCATCAGAAACATAGATCCTTGTGAAGACCAACCCATGAAGACTACTGGATTTTGAAATTAAATCTTATGGACAGTTGTTTGCAGTAAGTTGAAGAGACCAAGGCAGAAGCAATCTCATCTGAGAAGGAATCACTGAGAAAAAGACAATTATTGACAGACCAGAGATGAGAAGGAACCTCCAGCCTCCTGTATACACCTTCAGGATGAAAGACAACAAACCTTAAAAGATTATGTTCTTACACTACATCGAGGCAGAAGATCAAAAGGCTCCCAGCTGACCAGAAAACTTAGAACACCCTGGATTAATGTGCCAAAGTACAAGACCGTGCACAACTAGCAACTTATAAACAGTCTCTATGACCTGTCCCTGTCAGCTGTTAGACTCTAAGAGGATGGAAGAAGGAAATGCAAGAGCAACAGTGCAGACTGAAGCCAGTTTTCACCTATGGTTTTCTTCTCTTTTCAGACTCATTGCTACTGTAGGGCAGAATCTTAACATTTCCTTTCC